AAGTCGAGGTCGCATTGTTGGAAAAAAAAAATTATATATATATACACACAGCTCATGAACTGAATTTCACCTCGCTTCAAACCTCGAGCTATGACGACGGCCCTGACTGAGATATTCCGGGTTTGTGATGTGATCGTGGACGTGTTCAGTCAGCATGGTTGTTCATTCAATAAAGTTTACTGTCAAACTTTGCCAAGACTTCTTTGTCCTGATCTCTACACAACATAGTATACACAAATACACCAAAACAAAAAAGGCTTTCTGCTTTCCCTCCTTCTACCTTTCTCCACTTGGGCATCTGGTTGGATGGAGCCTGGATGGAGATTAAAAAACACAAACAGGGAACCAAAGATGTCCTCGTGGGATGGCAGGTGTAAGCAGTATATTCAAATAGCCGCAGATGCTCTTCAGTGCACATCTTCTAGAACAAAGCAGCATCCAATCATGTGAAAGTCTGCTAAATTTTTCCTTCTTAGCGTTAGCTTTTCAGGATCTGCTTGCTACGTTGTGTGAGGTACTTTTTAACATGGCTTTGGAAGAACTCAATACAGAGTGAGAAATAAAGAGTGTAATGGATACTAAAGGGCAGTGACGATCGCGTCTGGAATGCCATTCCTATAACCAGTGCACTGATTGCAATTAGCTCCTCAAGAATGCAGCAGTGTGGTTGGGCAACTGGCTTCCATGAGTCAGTAGACCGTCTCGCACATGTTGCTGTGACAGCCAATACAAATGCTGCTTACAAAAAACACCTGAAAAACTCCACATATAGACAACTGGTTCCTCCAATCTTAATAACAGTATATGGAAAATGCCTCTTATGTTTATGTGCTAGCATTCCCAATGAGGGTCAAAAAAATTGAATTCTAAACCTTTTTCTGCAAGAAAAAAACCCAAATGAGCATTTCTAAGGGAAAATTATGTGATCGACATGTTAGTAATGATTCCCACCATGTACTAAAGGAAACTTGGTAAATTGTGGTTAGTGTAAACTGTGTCTCCATTTTTCCTTCTCAGTTTCTACACTTACTAGAGTGATTATGTGTTGGACACACATATTTCTTAATTTGGGCAAACTTCAATATCGAGCTGATAGTTTTGAGAGAAAAAATCGACTGAGTAATCTTCTCTCATAGCAATTACACATCTGATTTTGAGGTTTAGCTTTGTAAGTAACCAGGTGAGCATATCAGGAGACAGTTTGTCTGCACTTTATTTCTCTCATGATGGTGATAAAAATCAGTTTATTTTTTCATTTGATGGGTCAAACTACACGTTTACTCTTATGCTGTGCATTGAAATTCAAAAGGAGAGCTAGCTAGCAAATTCTGAAAAGAATGTAAGTGTAGTCTGCCGTAACGCCACGTTTAGGAATAAACAAGCACAGCATATTGGCACAAAGACCCCAACTAACTGTCAAGCATGGAGGTGGAGGGGTGATGATTTGGGCTTGTTTTGCAGCTGCTGAGCCAGTTGCAAACACCTCAACATTGATCCCAATTATATCAACAGAATGGCTGAAAAAAGAAAGAATCAGAGAGTTTTCAGTTGCCTAGTGAAAGTTTAGACCTCAACCTGATTGAAATGCTGTGGATGTGTATAAACAAATCCCTGCTAACCTCAATAAAAGAAGGCAATGATATACAAAAGAGTGGGTCAAATTCCTTCTTTCTTACAACACGAGGTACTGACAAAGTCATAGAGAAAATGACTACTTCAATTATTGCTGCAAAGAGTCATGCAAAAACTTTTTTCACAGTACTGTAAGGAGCTGGGCCTTGAAATTTCAGCTGGTAGCTACCAAGCGTCAGTTTGCTTCTTACTGTATGTGGATGTCTCTTTAAATGCTAATGTTTCTGTCGTCATGAGGTCTCCCAGATGATACATTGGTGCTGTACGATAAGATAAAACTTGCTGCCCATTTTACAAATTTTTAGCAAATGTTCTTAGTTTTAAAATTATTTTAGGGAGTGTAACAAATCAATGCGGAAGGCAGATTCAAATACAACTCAAAAACACACAAAAAAATCACGCTTTTTATTATCCCAAAAAAATCAGGCAGCTGGGACCACTCGGAATAGGATGGTACACCTGTAACTAAGATCCATGTGATACAAATTAGTGTATCGCAGGTAATAACAGAGAAGGAAAACACACAAGGGCAGGATGTCAGGATCTGAAATGACAGGACGGCTCAGTTAAAAAAAAA